TAAATAAATAAATAAATAAATATTTATACATATATATATTTGGTCTTTGTTCTTGACTTATGAAACCCTTGTAATTTCCCTAATGATAATATAGGAGCATCTTTTTTTTTTCCTTTAAGATTTTATTTTTAAGTAATCTCTATACCCAACATGGGGCTGAAACTCACAACCCCCAGATCAAGATTCACCTCCTCCACTGACTAAGCTAGCCAGGTGCCTCCGGGAACATTTTTTGTCATAATATCTGGGTTTTGTCCCTGTTCCTGAATTAGCTCTGGAGAGATAAAGATGAAAAGAGCATCTTTTGTTATCATAATAAGCCCCTTTTAACTACACCAGTTAATGCAAATGAGGGGGCTTTTGGAAACCCCCTAAGGATGGGGGATTGGTTGCCACAGATGATTAGCTGGAATTTTCAGCCCCAGCCCCCTAACCTCTGGGGAGAGGAAAGGGGCTGGAGGTTGAGTTAATCACAAATGGCCAATGATTTTAATCAATCATGCCTATGTAATGAAGCCTCCATTAAAAAATACCCTAACCATGGGCACCTGGGTGGCTCGTCAGTCGGTTAAGCATCCACCTTCAGCTCAGGTCATGATCCCAGAGTCCTAGGTTCGAGTCCTGCATTGGGCTCCTTGCTCAGCAGGGAGCCTGCTTCTCCCCCTCCCTCTGCTGCTCCCCTGCTTGTTCTCTCTCTCTCTCTCTCAAATAAATAAAATCTTTTTAAAAAAATACCCTAACCAAAGGGGTTGGGAGAGCTTCTAGGAGGATGAACACATCAGTGATAGTGCAGGGAGAGTGGTGTAGAGGGCATGGAACTCTATGCCCCGTATTCTGTATCTTGCCCTACACATCTCTTCTATCTAGTTGTTCCTAAATTGTATTCTTTTATAATTAACCAGTAATCTAGCAAGCCATTATAGCAAATTATCAAACTCAAGGAGAAGCTTGTGGGAACCCTTATAGCCTGTGAGCTAGAAGTACCAGAGACTTACACTTGTCACTGGCATCTGAAGTAGGGGGCAGTCTTGTGGCGCTGAGCCCTTAATGTGTGGGATCAGATGCTAACTCCAGATAGTGTCAGAACAGAGTTGAATTTGTAAGACACCCAGCTGGTGTCAAAGAATTGGTTGGTGTGGGAAAACCCCATATACATTTAGTGCCAATGTGTGTGAGTTGGGGCATCTGGGTGGTGTAGTCAGTTAAGCGTCCCACTGTTGGTTTCAGCTCAGAAACGTCCTTCCTTGGGTAGGATTAGACTCTGGTACAGTCTTTTCCCCTGAGGAATGCTCAGAATTTATTTTACAAAGATTAATCTTCCCCTTCCCCTGCCAGAGCCACCAGGGAATCTCAGCAATTAGCTGGGAAAACCAGGTGGGGTTCCTGGAGGTAAAACCATAAAGGTGTGTGGTTTCCCTCCGGCTGTGGCGCCCAGGAGTTTCTTATTCCAGTGCTAGTCCACGCTCAGCCTCCCACATTCCATCAGTGTTCCTACCAGCTATGGCTCCAGTGGCTTCTGCTCCAGGTGACTCTCCAGATTTCAAGGCAGCAGTTTGCCCTGCACTCAGTTCTCTGATGCGTCCAAGGAAAGCCATTGATTTTTTGTCCAGCTTTCTCTTGATGTAAGGACAGGAGTGACAACTTCAAAACTCCTTGTGTGCCTGAGCTGAAACCAGAAGTCCTTTCTGAAGTGGGGTGTTTATTTCCCCCTCTCTGAAGTATTTTAAAAACTGTGCTAGGCTGCTGAAGAGTTTCAGGCAGAGGTTTTGATCTTAAAGTCCATAGAAGGCACTTCCTATGGATGAAACGTCCCTTCCCACATTAGAAACATGAGTGTCCTTATACAACACAGGCCACAGTGCTTGGGCACTCCCACTGTGTCTGACCCAGGTGGAACCCCTCTTGCTACTTAGGGCAAAGTGAGTCAGGCAGCCCAGGCTTTAAATCCTTATTCTACCACTGACAGGCTGTGTGACCCCCTGCCAGGCCAACCTCTCTCAACCTGTTTATCTGCCAGATAAATACCCGAGTAACTACCGCGCAGGCCTGCTGGCAGAGCTAAAAGAGTATGTGAAAAGGTCACACAGCCTGGCACAAATGGCAGCCATAAGGCTCCTCAACCTCTGAGCCTCAGTTTCTTCTAGCCTGAAATGAGGTTGATAGGATCGTTAAAAGGTCTTGCACTACTCTGGTGTGAAACAATTCATTTGATCAACACTGTAGGAATAACTGGGGATAAGGGCAGAAGTGGAACCCACATTTACCCCATTAAGAGCCTAGTGACCTTGGGCGCCTCGGTGGCTCAGTCGTTAAGCGTCTGCCTTCGGCTAAGGTCATGATCCCAGGGTCCTGGGATCGAGCCCCGCATCGGGCTCCCTGCTCCACAGGAAGCCTGCTTCTCCCTCTCCCACTCCCCATGCTTGTGTTATCTCTCTC